AAGAATCGCCATGGACAGTGGCCTGAAGGAAACGAGATTGGAAAACCCGCGAGAAAATGCATTTCCTCTGTCTTCAGTTACTTTTTGGTGAGTATTTTACCGAAGCAATTGAGCAAGTTTAGTCATTTTGTGATGTGAATTTAATGAAGAAATACGTTGATAAGGTGCGTATCTTCAGAGAGCCCGTTTTACTGCTTCGTGACCTTTTCCAATAAAAATAATCACCAGTTATCGTGAATTGTGATTGAAATTGCTGACTGGCAAACATAGAAACAACTGTCGCACACGTCGCGATTCCTTGAACTTAAATCACATATTTTGATTGACTTCTCACAATCGATTAATTAGCGTTTGCATTGTGCTACACATAAACGGATTATCGCCTTATTAGTATGCTAATCCTGCGCTCGTTTGCTGGCAGGAAAGCCCAATTATACACCCACCCCAGCCCTTATAAAGACAACGTCCCCAATTTTCGCCTAATTTAATTAAACCCAACTTTTCCCAGTCCACTACTGTGTAATTAAAATGGGCCTCCATCGCATGTGACACGCTGCATATAGTAAAACAAGCCAATTATCTACCATTAAGGAAATTCCCTCTGCAGCTGCAAATATTTCAAGATTCCAAATCTTCATTGGTTGCAGGTACACGATACCAACCTTCCTGCGGGGCCTGAAAGGCGACTTGAATGAATCAGACCTGCCTGAGACCCTGTCCGAACACAAATCTGCCAATTTGGGCAACTTGATGGAGCGATATTGGCAGGAGGAAGAGCTGAGAGCTGCCGGCAAAAAAGCGCCACCATCCCTCCTAAGGGTGCTAATCCGGGCCTTCGGCCTGGAGTTTATGTTCTATGGGGTGGTTTTGTTTATTTCCGAGTCAATCAGGTGAGGAAAACCCTTAAAACTCTTCGAAACTGAACTAAAAACTTTCGATGCTAGAATCAACCAGCCAATTCTTTTGGGGAAACTGATCAGCTATTTCAAAGTTGACGCAAACCATTTCAACATCACTAAATTGAATTCTTCAGTTGAGCGACCAGAAGCGTAAATATTCTGTGTGTCGGATTGAAGTTGACTAAGTGCTAACACTCTACAACTCCAACTCCAAAGTGTTTGCAATGTGGGTTGGACTAATCAAGTTAATTGAATCTCAATTAGTTTAATGGCTTCGTTGTTGCTGAACAAAGGCGTGTTTTCTGGCAAAGTTTCACTTTTAAGGGTTTTTTTAGTGGTAAAACAACAACAGCCGATAGTGGTTATAGTCTCAGAGTGAACGTTTCTTTATATTTTCGTATGAGAGCAACAATGCAGTACTCTAACCTTGTTTGATCAGATTTGTTTAAAATCAGTTTCGGTACAACAACTGCATCAGACAACTTCCGATGTGAAAGTTGCGATGAGTTCTTCCAGTACGACGCTTGTTTGAGCACAAAAACACTCAAAATTTGCTGCTTGATCAGTTCTTTTCAAAATCACTGTCGTCCCCGAAGGTCTCGGCACAACAACTACATCAGACAACTTTTGATGTGAAAGTTGTGCCGA